TACGTAAAACAATTCTTTACATAAGTAATGAAACGGAAGTACTAATTCTCCAAGTTTATTGATTTATTAACACATATGACCGATCACATATAAATTAAACTAATAAAATATTATCAACAAGAGTCGCGCCTGTACCATGCGGACGATGACCAAGGAGGCAACCTCTTTGGTACGCTAGGCGTAAATTAACTGGCTTTTGCGCCCCGTTAACACAATAGTGCCTATGGTTTAGCTAGTTTTGATGGACTGGACAATGGCGGTGACTAAAAAACCTAAAATGTAACGGTAAACGGAGTAAAGAATTTTATAAAATAAACGTTTTCCTAACTAATCATTAAGATCATTAGAACAACTTTGAATGGAAATTGGGATTTAAAATGGGTGTTAAATATGATATGTGTAACTTTAATTGGAATATATGAGTAATATCCTGATGTTTGTTGGCACTTATTACGATGGTGAAATTGACTTGACTTGAAAGGGGCACAAACCCATTTCTGACATGGCCACTCAAATTTCTCATTGCTCAGTCATCTGTTTAGGAAAATTGGTACCATGTGAAAGAGGACATAATGACGCAAATGATGGTATGATTTTTTTTTAACATTATTCACCTTTGAAAATTAATTTAATCTCAGTTTCCTTTTTTGGGACACCATGTACATCTAGCTGATAATGAATACGTAATACGAAAGTAATATGTGATGTTGGTTGGGGTATACTATACATCCAGCTTATAATAATACGAACGTGATATGTGACGTCTGAATCACTAAACCAATTGATTTGGTGGACATTACCGCAAGGTGGGTGTAACTAGTAATTGCATTGTAAATGTACTGGCTGCTTCGATGGCATACATTTACATTTATGTATCATATTAGAATCGTATAGACTCGATTCTATGATTTTTGGCAAATATGTCCTCGGATTTGATTCAGCAAATTGCCTAACACTGCAATTGCTCGGCAAACATTATTAATCATAAAATCTCCATCTGAATTTCGAAAATATAATACCCACAATACGAGAAATCGAGAAATATCATTACTCAGTAGCTATTTCTCCTATTAAGGATACGATTGCAAGACTTTTTAGACAACCCTCGTACTATATATTTAACTTAAAATAATCACTGATATTGTGTGATGGTAACACAAAATCGTGTAGTTATGACACATGTTTGGTGTTTTTGACACGTGTCTAATGATAACACAAAAACCTATTGGCTCGAATAAGCCCTCGGGGAAAGACGACCAATGTTGGGGGTAGTGTAACAAGCCAGATACATACATGCAAATAAGTGTGTTAGACTTAATGCCCCACATGTGAATCGAACCTAAGACCTTCATATCAATGACCCAATGCTCTACCGAGCGAGATACCGAAACCTAACTTAAGATAGCTGTGCTGTAGGAACAGCTAGAGCTGTTATATTAACAATGACAAACTGAAATTAATAATTGGATATGTGACACTTTAACCTCAAACAGGCCTGTGTGTCACAGAGGTGAACGAACATACAAGGTTCAAACTATATTTTGTGCCTGGTGATGTTATTCAGTATGGGGATATAATGTTAACTCTTAAAAGTCTACTTAAAAAACAATTTGCTGCTTTGTCCAGGACCTTTGTGTCACAGAGGTAAACGAACATACAAAGCCCAAACTATATTTTGTGCCTGATAATGTTATTCAGTATTAGGATATGTAAGGTTAAAATTCAAACTATATTTGTGCCTTATTAATTATATGTTATTTAGTATTGAAATATAATATAATAGTTTATCGACGCAATAATTGGCCGCGCTGTGTCCCATAGGTCAAGGAGTCAACAGAAATGCGAACTATAATAATTGTGTTATTCAGTACGTTAACTCCGACAAAACAATTGTCCTAAGAATAACATTATGGTACTGGATAACACGGTTTTGCACAATAACATGTATCCGTTTTCAATTATCTTACATTTGGCTTCCATTAAACGTACCTATCATATCAATTTAGTATACTATAGCTCAATTAGCACATCACGCGGTAGTCAATATGAGACCAATATTTTTCTTTGTTATAAGTAATGTCACCATGGAAATAATCAAATGTTGTGAACATGAAAATAATGTATTGTTTTTATTTTGTTGTTATCATGAAAGTTATGTTTTGCGGTATGTTGTTTCCGTGTATGCTTTGGTGTGTTTTGTGAATTCTTAGGGCTTATGTTGTGTTGCGCTTTCTGACCGTTTTGGTTTTTTTTTGTTATATTGGTAAGTGTGTTGGTGTTTTTGCTTTGTCTGGTATTTCTAGGGTTTTGTGATATTCCTATTTTTGTATTGGCGTTTTTGCTTTGTCTAGTATTTTTAAGGTTTTGTGATATTCCAGATTTTTGTATTGGGTGCTTTTGCTTTGTCAAGTATTTTTAAGGTTTTGTTATATTCCAAATTTGTATTTGGGGTTTTGCTTCGTCAGTTATTTTTAAGGTTTTGTAATAAACCAAGTTTTGTATTAGTGTCTTTGCTTTGTCTGGTATTTTTAAGGCTTTGTGATATTCCAGGTTTTGTATTGGGTGCTTTTGCTTTGTATGGTACATGTATTTTTAAGGTTTTGGAATATTCCAAGTTTTGTATTAGTGTTTTTGCTTTGTCAAGTATTTTTAAGGTTTTGTGATATTCCAAGTTTTGTATTAGTGTTTTTGCTTTGTCAAGTATTTTTAAAGTTTTGTGATATTCCAAGTTTTGTATTAGTGTTTTTGCTTTGTCTGGTATTTTTAAAGTTTTGTGATATTCCAAGTTTTGTATTAGTGTTTTTGCTTTGTCTGGTATTTTTAAGGTTTTGTTATATTCCAAGTTTTGTATTTGTGCTTCTGCTTTGTCAAGTATTTTTAAAGTTTTGTGATATTCCAAGTTTTGTATTAGTGTTTTTGCTTTGTCTGGTATTTTTAACGTTTTGTGATATTCCAGATTTTGTATTTATGTTTTTGCCTCGTCTGGTATTTTTAAGGTTTTGTGATATTCCAGGTTTTGTATTTGTGTTTTTGCTTTGTCAAGTATTCTTAAGGTTTTGTGATATTCCAAGTTTTGTATATGGGGTTTTGCTTTGTCAAGTATTTTTAAGGTTTTGTGATATTCCAAGCTTTGTATTTGTGTTTTTGCTTTGTCAAGTATTTTTAAGGTTTTGTGATATTCCAAGTTTTGTATTTCGGGTTTTGCTTCGTCAGGTATTTTTAAGGTTTTGTAATATTCCAAGTTTTGTATTAGTGTTTTTGCTTCGTCAAGTATTTTTAAGGTTTTGTGATATTCCAGGTTTTGTATTAGTGTTTTTGCTTTGTTAAGTATTTTTAAGGTTTTGTGATATTCCAAGTTTTGTATAAGTGTTTTTACTTTGTCTGGTATTTTTAAGGTTTTGGAATATTCCAAGTTTTGTATAAGTGCTTTTGCTTTGTCAAGTATTTTTAAGGTTTTGTGATATTCCAAGTTTTGTATTTGTGTTTTTGCTTTGTCTGGTATTTTTAAGGGTTTGTGATATTCCAGATTTTGTATTTATGTTTTTGCCCCGTCTGGTATTTTAAAGGTTTTGTGATATTCCAGGTTATGTATTGGGTGCTTTTGCTTTGTCTAGTATTTTTGTTTTTGTGATATTTTAAGTTTTGTATTAGTATTTTTCTTTTAGTTGGCTATGTTAAGGTTTTAACTATTCCAGGTTTTGTATTGGTGTTTGCTTTTGCTGGCTATGTTGATATTTTAGTGATATTCGAAGGTTTTGTATTGGTGTTTGCTTTGGCTGGTTGTGTTAATATTTTGGTGATAATCGAAGGTTTTGTATTGGTGTTTTTGCTTTGGCTGGCTATGTTAATATTTTGGTGATATTTGAAGTTTTTTTTATTTGTGTTTGCTTTTGCTGGCTATGTTAATATTTTAGTGATATTCGAAGGTTTTGTATTGGTGTTTGCTTTGGCTGGCTACGTTATATTTTGGTGATAATCGAAGGTTTTGTATTGATGTATGCTTTGGCTGGCTGTGTTAAGGTTTTTGTGACATTCAATGGTTTTGCTTTAGTGTTTGCTTTCTGAAAAGATTATTAATACCCAACGAGAACCCTGTATTTACATTGTATAGTCCCTCTATACTGGTAGTTTCGACGGTGTAATAAAATTAGCGGTGTGGTTACCCGATAATCTATACAATAAAGAGGTATTCAATTATTGATAACTTTGATACATTGTATCCATTCAAAGTGTTGCCATGCTCGTAAAATATTATTACAATACCCCTTTGATGTATGGTATTCAACTCATTTCCTAATAACTAAGTACGACGAGCACAATTGGAAAACCACAAACCAGCAAGAGATAAATAAACCATAAAAGCGAAACAATAAACATGAACAAACAGTAATACCACAATTGTAAAATCATATTCGGTGTTGTCATTTATCTCGCCGTTTTTACATCGAGCATGAGAAAATAACACACTATTTTATCGTCTATTGATATATTGCTGTTTTATTTTTTCTATAAAAATACTTTTGAGTAAAATGCGTGATTTCTATGTTCATGAACTATACCATGTTATAAAAATCAAAATTACAAGAACAAAATATTTGTTTCTCTAATTTCATTAAATAAACCCCGATTTGATAAATTACAAGAATACGATGTCAACATTACAAGGGTTGACTGTATTACTGTCATATATGATATTATGCCTACTTATTAATATCGCAATAGCATGATATAGCATTCAGTCTGGAAGATTCCACCGAGGGAACGACACTTCCTATATTAATACCATATTAGGTGAACTCACAGCCTGTATTAGGAAGAACATTGGACACTTCTAATTATCATACAATAAGATAATACCATACAATAATAACTGCATGCAGTTACTAGTATTGTTCCAATGGTATACCAAATAAGGCAATATTCTATGCATGTAGTAGAAGACTGACGGTCTGGAAGCTACTTTCAGAAAATCTGAATGCTATTTTCTCGTGTATTTACAGGATACCCTACGTCAACATGGGGTGTATGAGGAGACTATGCCTGACATTCTGCCTGGTTGTGCCTGCCTTTTGTTTCGTCATCCAAAAACGCTCGACTGAGGGCAACCGGCTTCAAGACGCCTTAGCGGTTCTACAGAGAGAACGCCGGCGTATTCAAGAAGGATACGGAGATCAGAACCCGTATGATGTATTCGATTATGGCAGTGAGCAAATGAACGTGGATGATGACGTCCTCAGTAGAATCCTGGAGTCAGGGGATAATGATTACGATGCGCATGGACAATGGGATGATGATGTAAGGGCTGAGAGATACTTCGAAAATGCCATTCAAAAGGAAAATAGTGTCTCAAAAGCCGAAGATGTCAATCCGAGCGAGCTTGAAGATATCTTTGATTCCATTAAAGACACAAAGGAGAATGTAAAAAGCACAGAAATGGAACCTTCCAAAACAAATGAAGATATCAAAGAAACTGAAGAAATCGTTGAGGATAATACTGAAGAAAACGACAAAGAAGATGCATCCACGAACGAGGAGAGTCCAGTGAGTAAACAGGAACTTGAGGATATATTTGGGGAAGATGACAAAGTTGAAGAATCAGAGGAAGAGGATGGCAAAATCACAACTAAAGAGGTCGTTAACAAGGAATATCTTAATGATTACTTGAAACCAGATACAAGTGAATCCAAGACAAAAGAAAAACGATCACAGAAGGATGCGTTAGAAGAGAATGATCTAAGTAAAGAAGAATTAAAAACTCTCCTTATCGCAATGACCATTAAAAGCGAACTCGAGGACAAAGAAAATACACACTTAGCAAACGCTTTGAATCTAGCAACAAAATCACAGTTAGAAAACACCAATCAGTACTTAGATGATGAGTTTGAGGAACTCTCCAATGCAATCGAAGCAGAAGAGATGCTACAAGTCCTCGAAACGGGTAGAGTTCCCGACAGTACTATCGGTTCATCCGAACAACGATCCGAAGAAGTCTTAAGTAAAAAAGCATTAATGCGTAAGCGAGATGACACTCAACTTACTGATACGGCGACCAGGCCAGGAGAAGAAGATATGACATTAAGTAATGATGAAATTCAAAGTCTTATAGATCTCTACGGTGGTGTTGATCGAGAAGTGGAAGACACGAGTAACCAATGGGAACAGGGTCCCGTGGAGGACCAAGAAGATCTGGATGAGGATGCCGGTATGTATTGTATTCATTTTGTATTCTATTCTAAGGGGAGGTGTGTTTTTGTGCATTGTAAATCAAACTTTTTTGTGTACAAGATCAACGTTTTTGTTGCCATGGAGGATCGTATACCTTATAACTGGTATTTCGTTTTCTTGTTGACCTTAACAAAACTATTTTGGTTTTTCCATTTGGCACTTAATTCAAACAAAACGCCAATGACTTCATGTCTTCGATTTTCATGTATTGCATTGATACAAATTCACATGATGAACACGTTTTTATTTTTTAAACTATGCAATAATATTTTTGTTTTCCTATTCTTGTTGTCACGGTGACGTCCTGTCTGCAAAGCTACTAAGTAGTACTATGGCACTAAATTAATTACATTCGCCAGAGGGGGCAACAATCCCCATCATTACAAGCTCATTATCGTCTTGTTCAAAATAGCAACCACAAATAATTATCCCTAGTGCATTTTATGAAGCTGAACGAGGAGTAAATATCTAAGCACAAATGCCAAAGGGAAAAGGGAAAATACCAAAAACTGTCAAGAAACCTAGCAAAGAAAAGCAAACTCTAAGTGTAAACCTGTCATAAGAAAAATGGACCCTATATATCCAAAAACCATGATCTAACGTGAATAAATTAATGTCTAATACCCCCCCCCCTCCTCCTTCAATCTAGAGCCAATGTCAAAATCGAGGACCCGAATACGTTTCAGAGCTAAAAGTTTTAAGATAAATTTTGCGTGAACATATTGAACGACCTTTAGTATTTAATTCCATAACGAACCGAGTGAATTCATTGTCTATATTTCTTGTTACCATATAAAAATCGTAACAATTACCTCGTTTCTATGATTCATGGTGATTTATATATCAAGCTTTAATTCTTCACGTTATTCAAAAAGTTTTTCTAGTTACCATATGAGAATCGTAACAATTACCACGATTTCTACGATTTATGATTCTATGTACGACCTTCGATTTTATTCTGCTTAGTGTTTTTCTAGCTACCATATTATAATAGTAACAATGACCTGATTCTATGATTTATGGTACAGTATATGCCCTTACTCTGAATAATGGTACAGGCAATCACGAGAAAAGGTCAAAGGTCATTTAATGCAGTATGAATCATGAGTCATGGGTCATAATAATGGTTGTGTTAAATAATGACTATGGCGCTGTGGTGTATCTATGGTGTAAGATTGGATTTAACGAAAGAATTCGAACGTACCGATGAGTACATTTTGAATGGAGATGCAAGCGTAATTATATGCATTTACCAACACTTATATTTCCAAAACCAAAATGAAGATCAATAGAATAAACTCAAAAATATGTTTCTGTAGTCGTTGGATATCAACTAAACGGAACGGCCTTTCCAATCCATCCTTCTCTCGATAATGTAATAATGTAATTAATTATCAGTTTGTGTGTACATTAAGAGTCTCAACACTACTTTGATATGCTCTCTTATCGAGGTACACCCCTCTTAAAAAGTTTGGAAACACAAACAAAAAACATTCATATTGGAGCATGTGTCAGAGCATGTTTGGTGAATTTTTATCAAAAATCAAATGTATTTGAGCATTTACACCTGTTACCGCTAGTCACATTGGCTGGTGGAATAAACATAACATGCTCCGGCAGATTGCTTCTTGAAACTTAGTATTGTCTCTTCATATAATCTAAGTAACGTTTTGATATGAAATACCAAATACCACAATACCTTCAGTCAAAAAGACTCCTGTCCAAAATTGTTTGCAACCTTTTGTGTGGCTGAAGTTAGACGTTTCCCGAAAACAAATTAAAACTAGAAAATCACATTTATTCTAAATCTATGACTTAAAGGATCGAATGGCAAATTTTTGTAGGGGGTGTAACGCTAGGTTGATGTGGTCCCTAATGGCTGGCTCTTAGCTGAGCTACATCTAGATCTCTCGATGGGTTTCATGAAGTGTTTAGTAATATATACCCTCTTGTTTAATAACCATCGATTATTCTGGTCTCCAGTCAACACTACTCTAGGTTTCCATTCATTATTGGAACAGGGGATGTATTAGAGAGTGTACTTTGATCTAAACCCAGACAGATTAGCTCAAAGCTTTTCTCGAGCTTTTTTCACCAAGTTTTACTCAGTTTTGTCATAAAAAGATGATAAAGGGCATAACACAACATGATAAACCATTTTTGGTCGATCGTCAGTTCTTGATTCGCTTAGATAACGTAATGAAAAATATTAAAGCGAATCAAGAACAGACGATCTTGCATAGCTAGGTATAATCATACAAACACCTCTATACATAGTTCAAAAGGAACTAATATTCATTCACAATTAAGTCATGTTAAAAGCTTTTTCAATGTATTTGAATCATACATATACAGTTGGTTCCACAGAGAGTTTAAATATTTGGAAAATATGTGCATAAATCGCAGTTTTTCCTCAAGTACATTTTTCCGAAAAGAGTGATATCGTTTTTTCTGTTTGAGATTTTTGATATATGTATCAATGTCACTTTCGCCCTATTTATAATTTAGGAATCAAATTTTGAAACACGAACGTGATTTAACATGCAATACAATGGAAAGTAATAATTTCAGGATTACAAAATCTTTTTTGGGGAGTGTCTTATCATAATACCTAGTGGGTAGAGGCAATATATCAAAAATTAATACGCTAAATATGTTGTTTACGAGGTATCAAAGTCAAATTGGAATATCGATAGCCTATGCTGAACAAGTAAGCCAAACAAGGTTTGTACTGTATATTGGAAATCTCTGTCACCAACATCAATCCTTACAAGGACACAGCAGTCATTATTAATCATTAAAGCCCTACTATGCTTAATCTAAAAGAAAAAAATTATCATTGAAACGTATTACTCACACACTCGCTCAAATATGACCCAAAGTTTGATTTGCTTTGATATTGAAAAAATATCTCACATAGAAAAAAACATTTGAAGTTCAGATATCATTAGACATGTATGCACATGTTTAACATAGTGCATGTTTTTTATAACTGTTGATTTAAAAGATGGCGACACCTTTATAAATATCAATGTAATATAAAAGAATTTGCTTTCTTTCAATGACATTGATAGAAACTTGCTATATAAAGCTTGACAGATCGAAACTATTTTTTGATAATTTATTGTAAGCTTTGATGTGGTTCGTTTGGGCTGTTGTTGGTGTCAAATGAAAGATAAGGTTCTTATCAAAACATTGTACATACTATGAAGTTCAAATGTCAGTCTTTATTTTGCCAAGACACGTTGAAAATACGCAAAGTGGGCCTTTAATAGAGAGATTTCACAACTCACTTATGGAATTTTATTTTCCCGTATAACTTATGAAACATTTGATTACGTCATCATTTATTGCGCAGCTCATTATGTCCAAAAGTGTGATAGTTCTTACGTAGACGACGATTTTGGCTATATTTTGTCTATATATGTGGGATCGAAGATACCAGACTACCCGTGTCATAATAATTCTCTACATGAATATTTTATGGAATAGTGTTGTCAGTAAACAGTTCAAGGATGTCTGTGTTTCCATATGGACTTCTCACATGTCCAATTAGACATTTGACTGGCACTGACATTGTACAAAGTAAACGTAGAATTAAAATGGCTTTTGATTATCTATTTTGGTTTATGACAGTTCTCTAAAAATTATGCAAAACAAACTCCCGAATTGAATAATATATTTAATCCCAATTGTGTTTATAAACATAAGTTCCCGACCAGATGTAATTGATGAAAAGAAATTATAAACAGTTAACAGAATGAAGAGTCGGGGATACCAAACAATCAGCGGGGGTGTAGTCTAACATCGGCATATGGTAAGCGTGCCACACCACAGCAGAAATCAACATTAACTATTTATGACCAATTATCACATGCCTATCGAATGTCAATATTAGTAGAAAATCATCAGACTATTTAAAACTGATGCCGGGAATTTAGTCATAAGATATTTCAAAATCCACCTTTCTTTTCAATATCCGTCATTTCCAAATCTTTTTCATGCCAAGAGTAATTAAAAAATATAGTTAAAAATTATGTAGCTCACGTTTATAAGCAATACGTAAATAATATTCTAAACAGTTGAATCTTGTTCTCGGGTCCCGGATGGTAATTGCTCTGTACAAAAAGTTCTCTTTAAATAAGTTTCCAATGAAATACTGTTATTCAGAAAATCTACAAAGGCTGACATTCCTGTGATATTGGTTCATCTACGCATTTACGCATAATATGTTGTATATCGCAAATATATATATTATTATGAGCTTTATTATACTTGTATCCCACATTTGGGCAAAGTTAGAAAAAATTAAAAGGCTTAACTAATCATCTATATATTATATTAACTAATCAAAGGGCACTTGATAATTGCAAGATTTTATTGGATGCATTTCGTGTTTTTTTTTTCTCTCGATAAAAATATTTGATACACATTTTGCGAGTATATTTAATATTATTCCCTCTGAATTAAATATAAACATTAATTTATGTTCCACGTTATTCATGTTTTCTAAATTCAGACAGTGTTTTTTTTTTATATATATACAAGGGTTGTCCATTACTTCTGGGACAACCCCCGTATATATATTCCATATTTAAGAGTACAAATTTGGCAACACTTATTATCAAATCACATTAGTACATTGCATATTGGACAGTACAAGGGCAACATTTTTTCATTGCAAAAATGACAGGGCTATGCCAATTAATGCAGCAATTAGCACTATAGAAGATATGACTGTCTTGGTCCGATTGCACTCATTTCAGAAAATACTGACAACTAATATATCTAATTTGATGTGCAGAAAATCAAAAATACGTCTGCAAAAAATCAAAATACGTCTGTCGTCTGCATCAATTGCTATAGTGTTTTGAATTCCCTAATGATATTGTATTTTTATTGCCCTGTAACATATGCGTTAATAACGCATATGTTACAGGGCAATAAAAATAACTTATTCTAATATGATTTTGAGTT